GGGGGGGGGGGGTCTGCGCATACATTGGCGTTGTTCTGTTACTCATCAGGTCCAAAAGCGTGAACGAAGGTCCTGGCAAGGGGCACCCTTCGAAAGCCAATGGAACAGCGCAGAATGAAGAAAAATACAGAGAGAAGGAAGCTTCGATTTTTACACGCAAAATTAATATCATTTTAAGATCTCAGAGGTCCTAGAGTCGGATTTTTAGAAGTCTTAGACCCAAATCCAAATAAACCCCAGGGTAAAAGTGATCCTCGGGGTCAATTCAGTAGCGAAGTGGTCAAAGGAGATGAGTCAATTTTGACTATTGATCAGTCTTTAATCAATATCTCGGAATCTAAGGGAGATAACGAAATTTTCATTATGACCTTTTTTGTGGAGCCGATTCAGTGCTACAACAAATGTAACTCCGAAAATTTCGCTATTTCCCTTAGATTCGGAAATATTGCTCAAAAACTCAACTGGGAGATGAGTCGACTTATCTCCGTTTACCACTTCACTACTGAATTATATCGTAGGGGTAATAATTTTTGAATATTTGACCCGAAGAATAATTTTTTATTTAGCCTGTAGCCCCATTTGAATTAACACTGATTTAACTTTGGGATTAAATTTTATTTTTTGTTCCACCAAAATTAAATTAACCATCAATTTATACATCCAAATCTTCAAATATTCTATTGACCAATTATTTAGTTGGGAAGATTGACGATTACTTCGATAATCGAAAATCAAGTACCTAAAATTTAGCATTAACTTGTTGACTAAAAAATTACATTTCAATATTATCAAATATTTTATTCACCATCAATCGGAAAATTTAGTTATTAAATTTTATATTTTAAATTTGTTCAATATAGTTAAACTTTGAACAATATAAGGAGTAATACTTCTTAATATTGTCAAAATCAAATATTATTGGCCATCTCTGCTTGCGATTTTGGATAAAGATTCTTAATTTGAGATTTCGTAGTCTTGATTTGAGAAACTTGAATTTTTTCGTGATTACAGGGCATGAAGCCATGACGTAGCCACCATCAAGTTTGGGAAGAGGCGTTACTTGGGAAAAAATCATGGTGAGTAAGCGTTATTAAGGTGCATGAAAACTTCTTGTCATTCGGCGAGAATTGATTTCATTATTTAGTCGGAAAATTTAGTGGAGGGTGACCCGGAGGGTTTGAAGGTCCTCACGGTTACAATTACGTAAAAATTACGTTACGCAGCGGAATTTTGACGCATGTTTCAGGTAATTATATTAATTTGAGATGTCCGTTTCTCTGAGAAATGGTGGAATGTTCTAGAAAGTGACAGAGCGATCTAGACCGGTACAGAATTCTCTAGAAAATTTGAGAATCATTGGGAAAATCCCAAACCATTCTGAAACCCCTAAAAATGCTTCGACAATATTTTAAAATATTCTAGAATTTTCTAGCATTCATTCTAGCATTCGTCTAAATGTCGATTTCGGAAATTCTAGTGTGTTTAAAATAAAAGGTGGCAGGTTCTCAAATTAATGACATTCGCATTGTTAGACCGAGATTATGTGAAAGGGAAAAAGTTCAGGATTAATTCTACATTAATTGAGTCATGGTCAGCGGACACACTTTTGGTGACAAAGGAGTCGTGTATTAAATTGAGATAGAATCATAAGTTTCAGAGATATTTTAAAAGGTACTTGAAACACGAGTGACTTAATTTTTTAACAGAAAAAATCATGAATTCAAGGAGGAGAATGTCTTCAGTTTAATAACCAATTATGCTAGATTCAATCGAAAATTCTTGAGAATTAAAATTATTTCATCTAATTTTTTAGGAAAAAAATTCCTCAAAATCAGAAGTGATAGTGTGGTTGACATTAATTGAGTCAGCGGACACACTTTTGATGACAAAGGAGTCGCGTATTAAATTGAGATGAAATCATAAGTTTCAGAGATATTTTAAAAGATACTTGAAACACGAGTGACTTAATTTTTTAACAGAAAAAATCATGAATTCAAGGAGGAGAATGTCTTCAGTTTAATAAACCTGAATTCAAGAGCCAGGATTCCCTCAAAATAACCGGAAATGTGGGCTAATTCAAGAACAATTATGCTAGATTCAATCGAAAATTCTTGAGAATTAAAATTATTTCATCTAATTTTTTAGGAAAAAAATTCCTCAAAATCAGAACTGATAGTGTGGTTGACATTAATTGAGTCAGCGGACACACTTTTGATGACAAAGGAGTCGCGTATTAAATTGAGATGAAATCATAAGTTTCAGAGATATTTTAAAAGATACTTGAAACACGAGTGACTTAATTTTTTAACAGAAAAAATCATGAATTCAAGGAGGAGAATGTCTTCAGTTTAATAAACCTGAATTCAAGAGCCAGGATTCCCTCAAAATAACCGGAAATGTGGGCTAATTCAAGAACAATTATGCTAGATTCAATCGAAAATTCTTGAGAATTAAAATTGTTTTATCTGATTTTTTAGGAAAAATATTCTTAAAAGTCAGAAGTGATAGGACATGCTAGCACAAATAGTTTAAATAATTTAAATCGTCAAATGTTTCATTTATTATCCATTTCGCCCCATTTTTTCGTAATTTATAAAATTTTTAAGAGAAAAAAATTGAATTAGATTTAAAAAATCCCTTGTCATCAAAAAAATTTCGCAATAAAATTGATAAAAAACAACGCAAGTGAACACATTTTTTAAATGCCATTCGCTGAGATAATGAAAAATACAGTTTAGAATTCAATTCACCCCGTGAGCAATCCGTTGTCATGAGAATCTCGCCACATTGGAATGTGCAAGTTAAATCATTGTTATACTCGCGTTGCCCGCGAGACAGTGAGTTTAAAAAAGAAGTGAATAGTGGATCCAGAATATATATTTTCATAGCCGGCAGGAGTTGGCCGTTGGTAACGGTGCCTCCTGCGCAACAGAGCATGCCTGGGGTTTAGAAGGCTACCTTGGTGTGTTTTTCACCACTCTGTCCTTTTCTCTTCCGTCGTTGGAGTTGATACAAATATGAGCAGAATATTTTTGTAGAACTACACATGTCTGTCCATAACTGGGCAAAATTCCGAGATCAGTGCGGGATTCTGATTCACAGTTGATTCAGCACTCAGAATTTGCATAAGATGAGGCTGACGCGCGGTTTAATCCTCAGACATTCGGAATGTTGGATATTAATTCGACTGATTCATCGGGAATTATTATTTCCAGGGAAATTAATTCATGTTATGGATGAGTTTTTCATGCATAAATCATAAAAAATTGTTTTTTCATGTTTTTTAGAAATTGAATTAAATTGAACTAAATAATATAAAACGATGAATAACTGTGTAAAAACAAAATCAATTTTCCACTTGTTTAATTTTTTTTTAATGCTTTTGAATGCAAATTTCTCGTGGCGTCACAATAAAATTTCATCCTCATTCGGAATTTAAAATCGCTTCTTTTGAAATTCTCCCGACATGAAATGCCTTTCGGCGGATCAGTTCCCATTTTTTTCCTGAAACTGGGCAAAATTCCGAGATCAGTGCGGGATTCTGATTCACAGTTGATTCAGCACTCAGAATTTGCATAAGATGGACTGACGCGGGGTTTAATCCTCAGACATTCGGAATGTCGGATATTAATTCGACTGATTCATCGGGAATTATTATTTCCAGGGAAATTAATTCATGTTATGGATGAGTTTTTCATGCATAAATCATAAAAAATTGTTTTTTCATGTTTTTTAGAAATTGAATTAAATTGAACTAAATAATATAAAACGATGAATAACTGTGTGAAGACAAAATCAATTTTCCACTTGTTTAATTTTTTTTTAATGCTTTTGAATGCAAATTTCTCGTGGCGTCACAATAAAATTTCATCCTCATTCGGAATTTAAAATCGCTTCTTTTGAAATTCTCCCGACATGAAGTGCCTTTCGGCGGATCAGTTCCAATTTTTTTCCTGAAACTGGGCAAAAGTCCGAGATCAGTGCGGGATTCTGATTCACAGTTGATTCTGCATTCAGAATTTGCATAAGATGGACTGACGCGGGGTTTAATCCTCAGACATTCGGAATGTTGGATATTAATTCGACTGATTCATCGGGAATTATTATTTCCAGGGAAATTAATTCATGTTATGGATGAGTTTTTCATGCATAAATCATAAAAAATTGTTTTTTCATGTTTTTTAGAAATTGAATTAAATTGAACTAAATAATATAAAACGATGAATAACTGTGTGAAGACAAAATCAATTTTCCACTTGTTTAATTTTTTTTTAATGCTTTTGAATGCAAATTTCTCGTGGCGTCACAATAAAATTTCATCCTCATTCGGAATTTAAAATCGCTTCTTTTGAAATTCTCCCGACATGAAGTGCCTTTCGGCGGATCAGTTCCCATTTTTTTCCTGAAATTGAAGGTGAGGCCGGTTGCGACTGATCCAACAGACTGTAGAAACGCATCGAGGCGTGAGATAAGGAGTGACTCTCCGACAAGATCCTCGTGATCAGCCGGATCACGTCCCAGAGTCATACACCACCTCGAAACACACATGGAAACACTGTTCACCTTGTAAACACGATGGGAGATGCCACACTATCTTTCTTCATCCATCCAGATAAATAAAGCCACAGGAGGAAAAAATATTTCTTGTTTCCAGTTAAAATTACAGAATTTTAAAATTCCGGCAGAATAAATAATGATGATATTTTATTCAATAATAGTTTCTTTGGAAAGTTTAATTGAAACAAAATATGCAAAAAATGGTGCATTGTATTTGAACAGCATTTTTCAAAATTTTCCTACTCATTTCAACAAAATGTTTCCATTTCAAAAAGATGAAGTCATATTTAATGCAAAGAAAATGTTTTTATTATTCATTTCATTCACGTAAATAAAATAAATAATTGAAACATGGAATGAATAATGAATAGAAATGCAAATTAATTTGAATAAATACAATAATTATTGCATTATTAAATTAAGTGGATTGTTGTTCTCGAATTAAAAAATTCATCATTAGAGAAACATTGGGAATTGAAATAACATTTTCTTAATAATATTTTCCTTAAAAACCGAACAAAAAGTTCTAATTTTCAGTGATTTTTAATTAAATCTGGGACGATTGTAGAATATGCGAAGAAAATAATGCATTTCAGTTGAATAACATTTTTCTTGCAAATCTTTTTACTCATGTAAATAAAATAAATAATTAAAACATTGAATATAATGCGTAAAAATGCAAATTAATTTGAATAAACATAATTATTTGAATCAAATGAATTTTATTTAAAGCAAATGCACAATCTTGTGAATGTGAATTATTAAATTAAGTAAATTGTTGCTCTGGAATTAAGAAATTCATCGTTAGAAATGTCCTCGACATCTCGCATAATTCATATCCCCATCGAATTCACGGAGCAGTGGGGATTGAAATTGTTTATCGACTTCATATTCTCCACGAAATATCGTCCACTCGGTGGAAACAATTTACCCCAGTACTTCACTAAATCGAGCGTTTCTACGTCCTTGCAGCTGCAATCTGGTAAAATCAACGCACGTGCACGACAAATGGTTCTTAAGGAGAGTGAAAGTAGAATTGAAAACTGGTATTCTATCCGGCGTACTGGCATTCTCGACAGCACTGATATCGATTTTTATTGTTATTTCTTTTAACGAATACATTAGTTCGTGCGCGAATGTCGTAGCTGAGACGTAATGGAAATCGCAGATAAATTCTCGATTCTGTTCTGTAAAACGTTGAAATGCTATTAAGAAACACATTTTTTTTTAATTATCATTTTTTAAAAAGATGAAACGGAAGTATTTAAATTTTTTTTCTCATTTTTATTCGAGAAAACAACTAAATGGTATTAATAACTATTAATATTATTTATATTTTATATTCTGATGTATTATGTATCACGTAAGACATATCGATATCTGATAGGTTGAACAACACATTAAAAGAAAAAAGAATGCAATGAGAATAAAAAAAATCCCGAAAAAGAATTAAGGATTTTTTTCATTAGTTTACCGAGGAATTTATATATTATTTATAGTAATGAATATTTTTCAATATAATTGTAAATCTACAGCAATTATTAGAGACCGAATAATCAATGTAAAATCATTTATAACAGTTTTGTTAACATTCCGACGGTAAAATTTACAGTTTCGTTAAAATTTTGAAAGCGATTAAATAAATATAATGAATTAAATTAATCAGTGAATTCTAAATTGAGACTTGAATTAATTTTTACGCCAAAGATAAAAGATAATCCTTCAGATTATTCTTTTATTAATATTTCTAAAATTTATATTTCGACACTGACAACATCTCCGGACATAACAAAGAAAAAAAAGAAAAAAAAGAAGATTATTGTATTAACGATAAACCACGTATGTAAATTAGCAATTTTTTAAAATAAATTGTTGAACCGCTATAAAAAAATTGAATGTTTGTTTAATTCATTTTTTTCAGAAATGGAAAATAAAGTATTTCATTTTTTTCTCATTTTTACTCGAAAAACAACTGAATAAACTTTATAACTAATTAATATTATTTGTATTGACACGTGAAATAGAAAATTTCAAAGTAAAAAGAGGGAATGAATCAAATGAGAACAACAAATATAAAATAGTATAAAAAAAGGAAAAGGGAAAGGAAAAAGTTGATAATAAGTGGAGTATCACCTTGACATTAATTCACCGAGCATACTCACCACAAGCATTATTCATTAATTAACAGATGTGGCTGGCTCTGACATTCCTGCTGGTTGCTATTGGGCTCGAGGGAGTCTGTGGACAGAGCAACTATGCCTCCCAGGGGAATAGCATTGAGCCTCAGCCTGGACTACCACCGAGCACTGTGCTCGATGGAAAAGTCACAAAGCTCGATGAATTATCACCGATAATATATTTAAATCGAACGAAGGCATATCTTAACTGCAGCCAGGGGAGTATGGAAGTGGAGTTGAAATTTCAAGAGCCTTTTTATGGTGTTGCCTACGCGGATTTCGATAGAAATAGCGCGTGCTTTGTCAGGGGACGTGGGCTGGATCATGCCAACTTGCAGCTGCCTTTAAAAGGTGGGTATTGAGACACTAATGTGACGCAATCGTGATTGAATGAGTTTTATTGATGAGTCGGGCTAAGTGATAGCTCGATCTTACTTGGTCTTCTGCTTTTTAGGAGTGTCTCGGGGGATTGAGGCGATGAAAAAATTTTATAGGAAGTTTTTCGCATTTCAATTGCAATAAAATCCCCATGAAAAGTCCACTATTTTTTTTCTTGACGATATTTATGAGAAACTCGGACTGAAGTTTAACAAAAAAAGACTACTTTTACTTTTTTTTCAATTTATGGATTTTATTTGGATATAAATATTAGATAAAAAATTAATGAAATGTCCAATGGAAATATTGTACTGAGGAAATCCATAGAACTCGATTTTTCTGCAGAAATTCCTTGACACAAATTTCCTAATTTTTTTTGTTTCATTTTTTTTATGAAAAGGGAAGAAAAATGTAAATTTGTTTTTAAATTTATGTCGAAAATTTCACAATAGAAAAAGTTGTGTAGAAAGATGAAATTCTACTGATTTTTACTATTAATTTTTATTGCACATTCTCATAAAAAAATCGCAGTAAAGCTGTGGAATTCTTCAATAGAATCGGCCAGGCTAAGAAAATTTTGAGAAGAACTTCAATAGAAATTCAACAGAACTTTCTAACGAATCCTTCAGGTTTTTCGATGAATTTCTTTCCTGCGTGGAACTTAATTCATATTTTTTTCATAGGATGCGGCACAAAACAAGATCCACAAAGAGTCTTCACGAATAATATTGTAGTGAGATTCCACCCGGGATTGGAAATGGATGGGGACGAAGTCATTACGATAATCTGTCGATATCCACCACCGGTTACTCCGAAACCGGACCCAATTCCTCTGCCAATGTAAGTTAATTCATCCAATTTAATCTTTAATCCAAAGAACTAACACTTTAGAGTTGACTAAAACTCTTTCTTCAGCATTTTTTTCATGCATTTTAACAATATTTTCTCAAAACCCCATTCATTCGCTTCAACTAAACGATTTCTCTGTTTACTTCGAATAAATAAATTCTTCTACCGACGGAAAATATAGAAATCAATAATGATGAAGTAGTTGTCAATAATTACGGAATAATACCATCAGTAACAGATTTTCCAAGAATTTTTCCCAACGATTAACGATATAACAGCTACAAATGACCCTCTATTACACGAAACAGGAGTGAGAGGATATAGTTTTAACGCTGCAGAATCTCCGAGGCCGTAATTATAATCCAAACACACGTACATTACACCGGATACCTATTGTAACTCTGTAATAACGCCACTATAGATATCATCAATTTACATGTAACAGGAAAACTTCTAGCCACTTCGATATCACATCTATTGATTTCCAATAATGCATGTGTTACCACTGCCTTTCACCACTCAACCGAGTTAATTAACAAAATTGTTATCAAGAGTAAATTGGAATATCCTGACGGGGGAGTATCAAGGACCATCAATTGGCGGGGGATTAAAAATATGAGGGCATTTGCAATTCGAAACATGTGTTGTTATTTATATCGCGCTCTTAAATCAATTTATTTGAAATTATCGGCTTGCCGTGAATCAGATGTTACCGTGGTTTATCGTTAATGAGGATGAGCTTATTAATTGTAGAATCATCACCAGAACAATCCTCTAATTATTGAACTGTAGTCGTATCAAGTCTCATTTGAATAATGACTTCTGCTGATTTCTTAATTTTCAAATATAAATCGATATTCACCATCAGGAAAACATTGAAATTTGATGATAAAGGAATGAAATTTCAAATTCCACTGAAAATTAAGTGAAATTCCAGATGTTTCAGCAGTAGAAAGATCATAATTCCTCAGTTTACTTGAATTTTCAACGAAAATGTGAATATTTAGTGTCAAGTTACGCTGCATTTTTAGTTAATTGAAAAATTAAGAATATGTTTATCTGAATTTTCTTGATTTCTAATGGTGAAAATTATTTCCCCATGAAATTTGCAGTTTTAAATAAAATAATTGAAGAACTAATGTGAACTAATGTGAGAAAGAAAATTTAATTTCCTCCCAAAATGACTCATTATCAAGATAATCCCGCCTTAACCCCTCAAGGTCAGCGTCCTTTCGACACTGGCCTCGCCGCGCGTTAAATAACAACGCGATTCACTAACTTCTTTTTTTATATTTTCTATTTGTTATTCAATTCACCCCAATTTCTTCAACAAACATTTATTTATTATAAACCCACTGGTATTCCACAATATAAAGGAGTAATAATCAAAGTCAAGCGCTTAGTCTGCACAAGAGAGTTTTTTTTAAATATTCAACTTTGAAAAGACATGGATTCACGCGCGGGTCCATGTCCCCCGGATTTAACCCTAGTCTGGTCACCTCCGCGGGGAATCCCCGCCGTGTTTATTTAGGCTTTAGCGTTGCCGAATTCACTCTACACTGCGCAGGCGCGTGTAGCGAGTGTCCGGCAATGTCCCGTCATGGGCAATTTCGTTTACCATGGGAAAAAATAATTCATCTGTTCGATGATGTGTTTTCTTTAGAAATTTTGGAAAATACGTTCTAAAAACTACTATAATTTTTCCGACACTTCAATTCACAAACTCAATTTTTTTTCAATTTTTCCGGTCAGCCGATCAATTGTAATTGAAGAAAAATGACGCGCGGCGGGGTATCCCCCATAGGGTGACCAATCTAGGGTTGCGGGGTTAAACTCCGATAAACCTAAAAAATCATCACTCCCTAAACCCGCCAAAAACATGAAAAACATCTTCTGATTTCAGCGCACCGGTCCTGACCCCAGCGCCGAGCCCGCTGAACGGTCTCCAAATTCTTCTGACGATATGCGCCCTCCTGTTCCTCTCCCTCCTGCTCCTCGGTCTAGGCTGCTCGTACCTCTGCCTAAAGCGTCGAAACGTCCGTGTAATCCACCGTCACCCCCTCGAGAGTGCATCCGGCTCGGAGATAACGAAGCTATCGCAGTCCTCCCTCGGTCACATCTCGATGTTCGAGGGTCTGAAGATTCCGCGAGCACACGCTCTCCTGCACGCAACAGCCTCCTCCTCAGGTAGCGAAGCGAACCTCGTCATCGACCACTCAGACACCCTTCCCAGCGATTACCCGAGTGAGAGCCACTCCGAGGTGGGCATAGAGACGACACACGCTTACGGCTTCGAGGAGGTAATCCACTCGAGCAGATCAACCACCTCATTAACCCCGGGATTATCCCACGTCGACGACATGCGATCGCTGCCGCTCTCCTCAGCAGGTTCCTACGACAACAAAGCCTTCGTCCACAGCCAGGACATGCGTGCCACCAGCTCCATCTACTCGGAAACCCTAGCTGACGTGGAGACGTCAGGAATGACAAGTGTAACTGCCTCCAGAGTATCCGTCCCTCGTCACCCAGTGGCTGTTCCCATCTCGCCCAAATTCGACGTACAGATGAGAGTCAAGCGAGCACCACCACCGCCACCAAGTCCCCTCCCCTCGGAGTCGGACGCAAGTACAGCCCTCGAGAGAAATCTAACCACAATCCTAGAGAGAGAAGAAACCACTCGATCAATGGAAACCCCAACCCCAAGAATGACAACCTTCTCGTACGTCCCGGAGCTTCACGGACCACCGAGCAGTACAATCTCCCGTCAGCAGACCCCTCCGGTCTACTCGAGAATCCTGAGAAAGCAGGCGGAACGCGAGAGTTACGAGATAACTTCACATCCCCAGCCATCAGCCACAATTCACCGACCAAGAACGCTGAAGACATTGGACGAGTTCAGCGAGACCAGAACTATGACAGAAGTGACGGACGCTTCTCACGCTAAATACCGTGTGGCGAGTATTCTCGCACCAACACCACCTCCACCACCGCCGATAGCGCCGACACACGCGTCGATACAGCAGCGAGATCACATGAGGGAGGAAGTTGAACCCTTGGTCGAGCCAGTCGTCTCGCCGAGAAGACCGGAGATAACGACTCATGAGGTGGACGACGTCTTCTTGCGAACGGTGACCGAGAAGAAGACCATCGAGGATGTCGAGAGACACCGGAGACAGGTGACTGAGTACCGCGCAAGACCCCAGCCGGATCCAAAGTGGGATGTCACAATCAGAAATTACCCGACTCAGGAGCTGCCACCACCTCCGCCGCAGTGGGAGAACTTCTCCGACGTCAGTTCAGCGTCGAATTTGACGATAACGAATGAGCCGGCTCACAGACATATGGAGGACGTCGACTCGACGATACAGCCGACGTACTCTCGTGCGGAGATACCTTCAAGGTCACCTATGGGGCTCGACGATGGTGATGACAATTGGGAGACGCTGTCGCGGGTGCTGGAGCCTCAGTACGCCGGCGAGCTGACGGAGGACGATCGCGAAAAGTGGCGGGAAGTCATAACGACTGAGAGTAGTCTGAGGACTCTCCTGCATGAGGCTGTCGTCAAGGAGGACTACGACCTGATTAGGAAGGACGAGAGGTACCAGACGCTGTTCCCAGAGACCAAGTGGGATGTCATCATTCGGATCCTGAGCCCTCCAGCCACTTCGATAGGGTCCAGCAAGAGCGGGCAGAGGTACAAGCGAGGGAAGGGCTCGGAGTGGGACAGTAGGTCCAGGAGGTCCTCTCTGCCGACTTTGTACGAGTACGACAGCGACGGCGGGACCTCCATCAGGACTCACGACGTCCCTGGGGTGCCGTCAGATGAGAGGAGACGACTCTCCTCCGCCAGGGGGGGCAGCGAGGTCGACCTAAGGTCAATGTCAGAGACCATTCGGGACTTCAAGATGCAGAGGGATGACGTGAGCTTGAGCTCCTACGATGCCGACTCAATCGTCAGGTCTCTCAGTCAACCCAGCTTGGTGCGGTCTGGCTCGGAGTTCACGGAGCACTGGGGGTTGCCGGCCAGGAACCTCAGGGCGTGGGCACCCGAGCCGGAAGAGACTGCTAGCTCTCCCGAGACAACGCCCAGAGCTGTCCGGAGGGGGGACAGGGTCGAGGTGATGACGTCCTTCAACTCTGGGCCGAGGCAGGGCCCGAGTGGGGTCACTACCTTTGCTAGGTCCACTAGGTACGAGAGGGAAACTGTCAGGGTGGGGGAGCAACCGAGGTCCAGCTGGTTCAATGACGATTCGGAACCCGAGATGCAGATTTGAACGAACGAAATTATCATGCTTGCCGATGGTTGCAGGTCAAAATGAGAGAACATTAACACTTAATACGTAATATCAACGTATTTTGATTTCAAATAAGGTTGTTTGAACTGTATTCGGTAAAGAAACGGAAGACAACATGAAGAAGTACAATTTTTCATGTGTAAACATCAGTTAATCATAGACTCAACGCTCGTTACACTAAGAGAGCGAACTGCGCACCTCAATTGTTGGGGCGTCCGCAAGCTGTCGTTAGTGGGGTTGTCCCTGACGATGAGATAGGAAATGAGGAATGAGGAATACACGGTACAGACAGGAACAAGGACGTTTACACATGAATTTTAAGTACTTCCGAAGAGACTCGCGTCGGTTTTTTGTATCAGATTCTTGTTATTCTGACCTGCCAACCCTGCCGAATTATTGAATATAGATACACTTGTTATATTCATCACTGCCCAGAGATATTTTTAACTGATGGTAAAGACATAATTCTTAATGATTGAATTTTATAAAAACGCGGAATCGTCACAAGTCATTATAGCAACATGGATCAACTGCCCGAACGATTCCTTGCCAATTTTTATTTTTCTTTTTTCAATCCTTCGATCTTTTTGGGTCGACCGCCGGATTTTCCACTTGCCACTCGCAAAATACCTTTTTGATAACTTTTTTTTTCAATGAAAAATCGAGTGGGACTGTAGAGTCCGGCTGCACCGGGCCACTTCCGTTTCGATGATCGTGTATTAGAGAAATGTCGTAACGGAAGTGCCTGGAAATGTCTCTTAGTCGCGTAACACTTGGCTTCCTAATAAGAACACCTTTCGTATCACGTAATAACGAAAATAAGCAGAATAAAAATCGATAAATCGCCAATTGCCCACGAGCGCTAGTGATAATAGTCGCATAAGTGAAAACGAAAAAAAAAGGTAAAAATAAATGAAAAGAATTAAAAACAACGGTGCTGGGTCCACGCTTCCTCTAATGTAGAAATACAATAGTTCGTAAGAAATTGTCTTTTTATAAACGTGAACGAAACGTACTATGAACGAAATAAAAAAAATTGTTGATGCTGAGTAAAGGAATAATGTTGTGCAATAGGATGAGGGATAACATTCAGGGGCATAATTCTCCGGTAGAAATGTATCAAGGGGGAGAAAAATATATAAATGAGGTGGAAGAAAAGGTAATTGGGTCGGCTGATGCCTGCGACCCCGCTGGCACCAGCGCAGATGAGAAGAAAGGAAAACAGGGAAAATGTTTAATTCAGGTCTTCTAGTGAGCTTCTTCATGAATGTCGGACCATCATCCCTTAATTAATCGCACGAACTTGTTTCCTCTTGCCAATTTTTCTTCGACTTATTCAATACATAAATTTAATAAAGATATTTTTAATCGAAAAATTGATGAATTTTTATTTTTCTGGGAAATTCATTATTTAAAAATTTTTTTTCTCTCAATTTTGACGGAATTGTATTTAAAAATCAAAATCTATTTATTTTTTTCGTGTTAAAACGACAGAAAATACGAAAATGTGGCTTCAAATATTTTTAGATCTTGAGATATTTTTCAAAAGCTGAAAACACCTCGACTTTTGCATCAACTCCTTTTCCTTAAGTAGCTCCTAAATTTGTAAATAAAAAGTAATGTTGAAAGGACGTAGACGAGGGGAAGAATAACCGTAACGAGGAGAAAATATTCAGTCATTTAGCTGCATTAGTTTGCAAATTTTCCCCACGAGAATGAGAATAAATTCCACAATTTCAAAGTTTTTACACCGAGCAAACTTGTATATTCACTGTATCGGAATTTACTATAACATTACGGAATAAATAATGCTTCTACTACCACAAGTTGATTGCAATTTCTCATCCCCTTCGCTCTTGAAACCACAACCCCACAAAGTGGAATTAAAAAATGGGAAATAAATATAACCCGATGATTCGATAGGGATTTCCCACGAATTCATTCTGTCCGGGGATAATCCGATTCTGGTCACGTGAAAATCCCGGACGGAAAACCGCAGAATATATTTCCAACCGTCAGCCCCAATTTCCCGGTGTCGTTCAGGAGAATAAAACAAAATTTGAGGGAGGAGAAATGGAGTGACAGCAGGGCTGAATGTGTGAAGTGGATATGAATCTCGTGGTTTCTGTTTCATTGCCATTGAGGAGGTGGGATTCAGGGGAGATTGGAGCACAATAGTGTCGAGATGGATTTTTTTTCTTGTGGCAGATGTCGTTTGTAAAATTTCATCGTCTGGTAGGGTGTAACGAGAAGCTCGAGACAGACATCGATTCACTTCTGGGAGAGTGACACAATGCCTGGAGGAAGGAACAATACCTGAAGATAGAGAGGGGAAAGAATTGATTTCTTTGTAAAAAAGAAAAAAATTATTGAATTAAAAATACAGTTTTTTCGACGAAATTTAATATTTATTATTTATTTTTATTCTTATTATTTATTTATTATTATTATCATTATTATTCATTATTAATATTTTTTATTCACCAGTCTCACAGGCGAGGTTACCAAAAAATTGGAACCCGATTGAACGTTTATTGTCAATTCAATGAAATATTCATTCCACTCACATCGTGAAAGATATACGAGTTCATCAATTCTCAACACAAAAATCGAAATGAAATGAATAATTTGAAATAAGAAATTTTACTCGATTATCTGATTTTCATAAAATTATTAACGTTGTTCCTCTATGAATTTTCCCCCGTCAATTCAAAAACTGATAAAAAATAATTAAAACCTTTCCGATTCGTAACAACTCCAAAAAATTCCTCTTCCACCTCAGACAATTCGGCGTCAGTCCGTCTACGACTCCTGAAAACAGTTTCAGCGGAGCATGTGTGATGCGGTCTCACGAATTCCCCCCAAGGCGGCGTAGAAAAGGAACAGCAACTGGCAGACAAGCGTCCTCTGCGGCTGCATTTTACATCAATTCAATATTCAAGAGAATATTCTTCTGAATTTTCCTGATTTTCATTGATTAATTAAATTGAAATTCACTGTTTCTATTGATTTTTCGCATCAAATTTTGAATGAAGTGAATATTTCATTGAAATATTCACTCTATTTACATCGAGATGATTATATGGGTTTATCAATTCCCCCAGCAAAAACGATTTCCTCCATTAAAACTCATCGTTCCTCCTGACAATGAGTTTCATAAATTCATTAACATTGTTTATATTAAGAATATAATATATTCTCCTGAATTTTCCTGATTTTTATTGAATAATTAAATCGAAATTCACAGTTTCTATTAATTTTCTAAATCGAATTTTGAATTTCTCATAATTAAATGCATTAAAATTCCTGTGGAACAACCACTTGATAAAAATATCCAAGAAATGTACTGGAAATTCCAGCCAAGAATTTCTGTCAGTGTTTACAATTTATAGTAGTATATCAATTTCATTTATTTTGAATTTGAATGAAATAAAATTAAATTTCTAATTAAGTGAATATTTCAGTAGAATTCAAAATTGAATGGCGTAAAATATTTACTGAAATATTCACTCCGTATCCATCAGACTAACTATAAGAGTTCATCATTTCCCCCCGCAAAAATCGAAATGAAACCAAAAATATGAAATAAAAAGATTTCCTCCCTTAAAACTCATCGGACTCCGGCAATGAGTTTTATAAAATCATTAACTTTGTTTCTCTATGAACTTCCCAAAATTCGAGGATATATTCTCCTGAATTTTCTTCATTTTCATTGAATAATTAAATTGAAATTCCCTGTTTCTATCAATTTTTACATCTAATTTTTAATTTTCAATAATGAAATGCATTAAAATTCCTGCGGAACAGCCACTCAATAAAAGTATCCAAGAAATGTGTTTACAATTCATGGTAGCATATTTATTCCATTTGAATTTATTTCGAATTCAAATAAAATAAAATAAAATTTCAGTGAAGTATTCACTCCATTCAAAATTGAATGAAGTAAAATATTTACTGAAATATTCACTCGATATCCATCAGACTAACTATACGAGTTCATCATTTCCCCCCGCAAAAATCGAAATGAAACCAAAAATATGAAATAAAAAGATTTCCTCCCTTACAACTCATCGGACTCCGGCAATGAGTTTTATAAAATCATTAACTTTGTTTCTCTATGAACTTCCCAAAATTCGAGGATATATTCTCCTGAATTTTCTTCATTTTCATTGAATAATTAAATTGAAATTCCCTGTTTCTATCAATTTTTACATCTAATTTTTAATTTTCAATAATGAAATGCATTAAAATTCCTGTGGAACAGCCACTCAATAAAAGTATCCAAGAAATGTGTTTACAATTCATGGTACCATATTTATTCCATTTGAATTTATTTCGAATTCAAATAAAATAAAATAAAATTTCAGTGAAATATTCACTCCATTCAAAATTGAATGAAGTAAAATATTTACTGAAATATTCACTCCATATCCATCAGACTAACTATACGAATTCATCATTTCCCCCCGCAAAAATCGAAATGAAACCAAAAATATGAAACAAAAATATTCCCTCCACCAAAACCTGTCATTCCTCCGGATATCTGAGTTTCCTAAAATCATTATCTTCGTTTCTCCCCGAGCTCCCCTCCCGCATCAATCCCGAACCCTCCCGCCCCCCAAAAACCCCCCCTCCCCCCAAGACTCGGCGTCAGTCGGTCTACACCTCCAAAAACAGTTTCCGGATTCTCTGATGTGGTCCCATGAATCTCCCCGATGTGGCGTAGAAAGAGGACCGAGCCACCGAGACAAGTGTCCGAAGTCTAAAGAGAAGATCAACGCTTGCGCACATCGATCCCGCGGGCGACGGCGACCGAGGGGATGAAGAGCTTCTGTACATCAAGACTTTCTCCACCGATGAAAGCCCACCCCAAACCCCATCCGATAACCGGTGTCTCCGTGAAATCGAGCAGTCACGTGTCTTCCTCCCCCTGCATCAGACACTTTGGAAAAAAAAAACCCGTCGGGATATCTGCGCAGCGACACACGTACCGGGTGTGAATGCCGGGTGGGAGAGGGTGATGCCGGCTCAAGGTAAACGCACGAGTGCGGCTGGAGGAAGCGCAAACGGGGTGGTCTGATGGTGGGGTTGTCTCTGACGCTCGTGGGAAGGTGGCATGCCGGTTATAGTTACACCTGCATTTTCAGTTTCTGCACGAGTGTCGAGAGTTCGGGAGCATCTCATAACGGAGAGTCATCAACTGTTGGGTATCAGTGGAAATGATTTTGTGAGGTGATGATGACTATTTTTCATGGGCTTTCGGTTACATCGGGGGTGAGAGGCTTGGCCCGGGGCCTCATGTACAGATTCGACTACCTGTTACTCACCCGGATTTGGCGAGGAACATGGATCGCGTGAACTCGTGCCGACGACATTGAGCTTTCGGAGGGAATAAAACGGAGGGATGAGCTCTATGAGGAAGACGCCGAATCAATGCGCGCGGGATAATCCAACACCGGCGCGACGTTACGCACTCACTCCAAGTCCGAGTGTCAAGACAGTTAAGAGTTTTCTGTATGGGGGGAATTCTACGGGTCCGGGGTCGCCGCTGAGACATCGCTCCAAGTACGAGTTGAGGTCCATCAGCTTCGAGGGGAGCAAGGTCTTGCCGTGGACTTCCAGGTGAGTTTGATGGTTATTTTTTTGGTTTTGAGAGGGGAAGTTTTTGGAGAGTGATTTATTGGTAATTTCAATGAATTTCGGTTTTGGGGTTTTGTGAGAGGGGGAATTATGAAGTGGAAACCGCGGGATTCGGGGGAAATGGTTTATGGAAGGTGATAGATGTACGGAAAATTCTTCTTTTGATTGAAAGTTTGGGGTAATTGAGAAATTTTCGTCTTTCTGATGGTTAAATTTTGGAGGTCCTTTGAATTTGTTGGGAATTTTTTCCAGGGAAGTGTGCGAAAATAGTGGAGAATAGTGAATTGGATTTGTTACTTTGTACTGAGCGAAAATTGATGGAAAAAGGAGTTTTTTTCAAGAAATTTTTTTGTGTGTGAATTCTATAGGAAGTTGAAAGGAATTTTGTCATTTAAAATTAAGGTTTTTGTGGACAATTTAATCGAACTGTAAATGGAAGTTCGATTTTGAGATTTTTTCCAATGCTCAACAAATAAAAATGAAAAGAAATTGTTTCAAAAAATATTTTGAGTGATAAAAATTCTACGATACCTTTTATACCGATTGAATAACAATTTTTTTATTTATGAATGCATAGTCAAAATTGGAAAAAGGGATGAATAATATTGTTTGAGGAAGAGCCATCAAGTATTCATGAAATTGCGGTTGAGCGAATGAATAGGGAATTGTTGAGGGCCTCGATGCACTGTTCGATTGCTGAAAATTTACGGAATGGAAGTCAGAAAAATTTATGCAACTGGAGAAATTTTTGTCTTCCAAAATTTCGAGGTCCTTTAAATTTCTTTGGAAATCCTTTTGAGGGAAAACTGTGAAAATAGCGGAGTGAATTCGATTCTCAGGGGTTTGAAAATGTGATAGGGCGACGGGGGATTTTTTATGAGGCCTTCTTTGGAGTTCTCATAAAAATGTTGGTATTTTCCTTCGACTCCTCGAGATTTTTTCCGATGCTCAATAAGTAAAAATAAAGATAAATTATTTGAAAAAAATTTTCGAGTGGAAAAAACTGTGACGATATTTTTCACACTGACTGAATAAAAATTTGTTTTATTCATAAATGCACACGGAGAGAAAAATTCAATAACAATTATCAGGCAAGAACGTAAAAATTACGTTTCGAAACGTAATCCGCGAGCGAAGTAAAATTCAATAAAAAGTGTGAGGCCGAACTGAAATTGTACGAATCGCCACGTAAATTCTCCGATTTGTTCCGTAAAGATTAACCAGCCGTCTGATGATTCACCGCTGTGGGGACAACAAGTCGTTCCGTAATTTTTCCCCAACGATTGAGAAATTTTACGGAACGGAACGTAGAAATAAGTCACCAGCTTCATAAAAATTGTTGAACGTTCAAGAATTTTTTATTTTGGAGGCATAATAAGTCGGCAAGTTTCTGTAAGATTTTAGGGGAGGGTGGGGCAAAACGGCCCCCCTTCAATTGTCAATAACTTGTGAATGACATTGTGAAAATTCCCAGTTTCAACTTCATTTTGAAGATAATTTTTCATTCTTCAAAACGAGCTCTAACTCATCCCAATCGGATTATTGAATCAGAAAATATTGACGATTGAAGGGGGGCCGTTTTGCCCCATCCTCCGCTACTTCTTCGGGAAAAATTACGTGACGATTTCGTACTTTGTTCGGTGATGAACCTGAAAATTCCCTGTACGTTTCAGATTTCTTCTC